CGTAACACTATCCCATCAAACAGAACCATGTCCATGTATATACGTAACACTATCCCATCAAACAGAACCATGTCCATGTATATACGTAACACTATCCCATCAAACAGAACCATGTCCATGTTTCAACGTAACACTATCCTATGAAACAGAACCATGTCCATGTATATACGTAACACTTTCCCATGAAACAGAACCATGTATGTCACGGCTTTCATTTCTGTAGTGGAACCACTGATATCAACTAGTACTGCGAATAAAGTCACATTTTATCACGATCCACACAAAACACGGCACGGATTGAAATAGACTCGGGTACAAAACTTGATATACGTTAAGTGATAAATGAATTGAAACTGACGAGGATATTTGCTAGACACGTACTTGATTGCTAAAATACAATGGTATTCAGCATTTACTACCTTCAAAGATGTAATATGATATACGCAAAGTGTTAAATGAATCGAAATTGACGCGGATGTTTGCTAGACACGTACTTGATTGCTAAAACGCAATGGTCCTCAACATTTACCACCTTCAAAGATGTAATATGATATACGCAAAGTGTTAAATGAATCGAAATTGACGAGGATGTTTGCTAGACACGTACTTGATTGCTAAAACGCAATGGTATTCAAGATATGCTAAATATATGGTGTGAAATATTAAATTATACTTTACATCTTTAGATATGTCTCTATAAATGAAGCGATTCATATACAATTGTACTCTAAAGCGTAATTTTGCAAAATACCTAGGATTTTATACAAATGTCGGGTATTTAACTGGCCTTGACTACATGGATCCATATCTTTTATACTATGCGATATGTATTTACCTGCATTTATTGCTAGCAAATATAATTAGCGATACATATTTTTTCGAATTATTTTTGTATCGATTTAGAAATAAACTAGTCAAAATGAAGCATTTTTTATTAGATCAAAGCTGGTAATAAATTATTGGTTCAGTAATCAATGGAAACTGAGAAAAGCTATGTCGTACCCTTCCTGCTCAGCGCCATGTCGGCATGTTTATCGCAAACCTGTCATTAAGATGGTTGAAAGGCATTTTACATCCTGTTCGTTTAATATTTTTGATAAATCACTCATGCCTGGGGGTGGTGATTTATTTGTAACATTTGTGATATCGATTTCAAAGGACAAACGCTACCTGTATCAAATCATACTAGGAATAGGTCCCTGTGCAACAGATCTTGCGATAGAGTGGAGGGGGATACCTTGAACATTGTATAAAAAAAAAAGTTGTTTAAACTGTTGTTAAAGTTTTAAAATTTATTGTTTTACAATGAATTAAGTATAGAAGATAAGTACCACCAGTCCATATGCGGTTGGCATTTCACAGAAAAATGTATATGAGTTAATTTACTGATATGTACTGTAAAATAGTAAAATGCTGATGCATGATTTGGACCTGTAACAAGGAGAAAATGCACCATTAAGATAATAAATGCTGTTTTGTTCTCACTTTTGCTTCGTACCACCCGTAAAAATATCAACAGTTTGCCGTTTTCGCGAACTAAACGGTATTCACGTAAAAAATATATACTGAATGTCTTAAATGTATGTGGGTTCATTTCTCATTTATCATACAGGTCAAGCAATATATTTCTGGTCAAGTCATGTCGTATCGGTTGACGGTCGAGACTAAAACACAAGGTATTTGTGAAACGTACAGGTAATAATGAAGACAGGATGGAAATGTCAAAGATTCAAAGATAGGAAATATCTTTTAATTTACAGAGATTTGTTAGGAATATAGAGACCGAAAGTTTTAATCTTACCTTAAACAACCTCAAGATGTTAGCGACCATGATGGACACAGTGCTGGACGCTGCCCCTATCACTCCGGCCACCGGTTTGACCGGTGTATATTGCGGGGTACTTCCATTATCACAATGGTAGTCCGTGATGTCAATAGTAGTCAATTGTGCCTTGATGAAATCCATGCACTGTTCGAGCGCGTAAGTGTCCGAACTACAGGTATCCAGCACGTGCAAACCAAGATCAAGGCCGGGTAACAGATTTTCATCTTTATTAATTTTATCAACGGCGAACAACATAGCTTCTAAACGCTGTATACCTTTTTCCTTTTTAATTTTACCACAACTATTACCTTGTTGGCCTTTTTCATGCATAGGAAAAAGTCCGCCAAAAATTATATCCCCGTCGAGCTGGAGTTTTTCCTTGTCTAATGCACTAACGTGTTTGTAAAGAACAGCTAAACAAAGTAGCAAACCAAGGGCATAATTGACGATGACACTGGCCATTTTGAGCACTCAGTTGAAAGGTAGGTATAAATAGCGATAATATAGCGTTCGACACGTTTTCCCATGCTATCCAACACTAAGGCCCGTGTTCCATACCAGTGAGGTACAGACTGTCGATATTGCGTTTCGAGGGAAGAGGCGAGTAAACTTACGCCATACGCATGCGTACCATTCGAGCGGGTTTTCTCTCTGTGGTACATAATGAAGAGAACTGATCAGTGTGTTGGCTGAAGAATCGATCGCAGAGGTGGAAGGTATAAAGTAGGATCTGATCAGTCACCGCAGCATATGTACAGTGTATCTCTATACAGACGATAGCCTTTCTCAAGGTGCAGTTTTGATTTACAAATTACAACACTTGGAAAACTAGCGAGAGCCAGGGCGTAGATAATTGAGAAACCCTGCGCGAGCATTGCTGTCTCCAATGTATACTCGCCCATCGGATCACCCTTTCTCTAAATTTCATTTTAAAAGATTTACAAAATAGTCTGAAGGTATTCATCTCGTTCGTATGTATGTTGGCTGTTAAAGATAATTATAGCAATGCCCCAGGATCTAATTTAGTTGTATTTTATAAATAAAGTATTGTTATTTCATAATGTATCATTATGCCTTGCCGACGTGAAGGTTACTGTATTTATTTGGATACAGATAAACTATGTGTGATCGAAACTAACAGATTTATCTGTATTTTTCGTTTTCAATCCGCTTCTGTATTATACAATACTTCTGAATACAAGTCATTCATCATTCCGATTCAATCTCTTTCTTGTACATTTAGAAAACGCAGAAAATGTGATCGGGACGAGGAAGCGTATTTTATGGCCAAATTTGTTTATCGCGACCGTTAGTTAAACAGCACGTCAGATATGAAGATTACTACGGCATGCGTAAAATGTGTGACGAGTAGAGGCCGGAACACTGACAGCTCTAAGTGGAGTTACTAACACATATTTATCGTCTGGAAGTGGAAACAACCTTAAATTCATCCTTAGGAGTTCGACAGCATTTGTTTTTTCAAAATTGTATTTTATCACGATTTATTGTTAATGTGTCATGGTGATTTTTCAAATGACATGAGAGATGGATCAGGATGAAGAACAAACATATTTGTGCATGTACTTGTAGAGAGCATTTCAGATATTTCTTTTGTTAACATTACTGTTGTTTAAGTGCATCAGCCGGAAGTGAACTTTCGAACTGTAAGGTGACATCTCAGTCTGTCGGTGTTTACCAAGGAGTAACGGTTTTATAATCAATCCTAACAATTATTTGTTCCTTATTGCACAGCACTTCGATATAACGTCCCTGGGATATACAGTTGTACTGTGCTATAATGCCCTTGATTATATATAGCTGTAAAGCAATATAAAGTCTCTCGGATATATATATAAAGCGATGTTGATTCAGTCAATAATAATAATGTACATGTATCAAAGCTGAAGTATAGCAACAAAAAGACTTTTAACATGTCAATCTCGTTTGCGACCCAAATGATTGCTACGCAATGACATATTACCTGAAGTTTATTGATATACTTGCGTATATAATTTCTCTTTAACTTGCTATAGAAGGCATATTAGTTTCAACCAAAGATAGCGATAGTGGCCATGCACAACATGATATCGGCGTATCTATGCAACACCAACGGTCTTCTAGGCGCATGGACAAAAATAACTCTGAATAAAGTGTCCTTTTGTAACATTTAACAATGTTTTGCTAAAGCTAAACATTTATAACATGTCTAGCGCATTCATACAATCACTGAATATTATGATATTGCACCTTCGCTAAAGTTCATTTATCAGTCCAGGTCATGATCACTCATCTATATCATTACTATTTATGATCTGCTATACAACATATAAAACCGCAGAATTTTACCATTTTCCTAATTTGCTATTTTTACTATATAATTGGTTTTAGTGGCAATACCTTACTTGATTTGAGGCCGGTATGACCCTTTATCACATACCTGTTGAATTTTGTTATAGAAATACAAGCAATTTTCAGACCATCAAATACAACGTTCTGTATTGCACATGTGCAATATGGAATGTTGTATTTACCTACTAGCCGGAACTACTTTTTATGGGAACCCCTTTGAATTAGCGAACTGAAAAGTTCCCGGTATTTGCAAAAAATATCAAAGTTTATGAAATCTTTGTATCGATCTCTACCAAATACGGAAGGTATGTGATAAAAGCAAGACCACACACTTGTGTAGTGTGTTGTCTTGCATATTTAGGCAGCTACTAAAAGAGAAACAAAACTACCATGACCTGGATATGAAAATAAACTTTATGTCATTTCGTAGTGGTCGTTTAGATCGTATACGACGTGTTCTATACAAATGTACATGTACATGTTCAGCTGCTGCAGTTATTTTTAGAACGAGCCTACGTGTAGATAGAACAGTAAACTTTAGGTGCTGTATTTGGTCCTTTTCCACTCTCAAAGGAGTGATTATTGTTATAAGATCACACCAAGGATTATGCATTCAACAAGAGGGCGTCTTTGTAAGAAAAGTTGTATAATTGTATTCGATTACGGAAGGGTACGTACCAATGTCGGGACTTTTGGTGGCTTTCCCCAAGTTATATAGTGTTTGGCTGTTTTTTACTTTTACAAAAACAAATGTTATTGTCCATATTTATTATTGTTTTATTGTCCGTATTTTTTATTGTTTTATTGTCCGTATTTTTTATGTAAAAGTGTTGCTTATTAGACTGTGTTTTGATAACAAATTTTATGCAATATTTAATGAAATACTATGTCAATAGCGTTCCTGCTCTTGATGTTAGAAGGTTTTCGAGACCGACGTTAAGATATACAGGTTATATAGTGTTTGTCTGGTTGTTACTTTTTACATGTACTGGTATCCTGTTATGTTTCATTGGTGCCTCGAATTGTTCGAAGTGTTACATTCGCTTATTTCTGTCTTCAACACTCAGACGTTATATATCCTATCACTCCTGCGCAATTTAGACAGAACAATCTCAACTTGGAGATAAACTATTATACGTATGCTTAACATGAGAATTTGTCAAGTACCAAACTTCATTAGTCCTATTCCAATGGTTGGTAGTTTACTATTTGCTTCACAGCGTAATGATTGATTATTTTTCTTCCGCAACACTAGCCTATTATAGTGAACCCAATGCATTGCGCCATTATCAAAGGCACATGAAACGTGCGACAAAGTTTGTGACGCTACCCCGGTAACAGCACATAAAGTGATGACGCGGTTGAGTTTTCAGCATAACAGCAAGTGTGAACTGTCTTTCCCTTTGTAGAGTAAGACAGAAAAATCGGGAATGCATCTGTGTAGTGTGGTAGAATATATATATGTATGTAAATATAATATTAAATTATGCACACATATGCCAAGAATGCCAGAGGATAGATATATACGGTTATTGAATGGATGATAATACATTAAACAAGAATATTGAATATGTATACCATTGAAATAGTTAAAGTATGAATGCAAGAAGGGTAGAATAGTTCTTATTCGTTTGATGACATGCATTTGGTAGGGGTTTAAGCCAGGCGCTATCTTAGGACTCTTCTCATCACATTGTCTGAATGAAACAAAAACAACACACCTAAATACCACAATGTTATATAAGTACATGTAATATACAACAAATATCACATTATGGTGGTTTACAGTACATCAACAGTTGTTTGTCAGAGTTAAGCAAACATTACATTTTTTTTTAAAGTTTCTTCAGGAGAAAATACTAAATCTTCCGCTTTATTGACACTTGTTTTTAACATGACATCACATTACTTTATGTCATCACATGATATTTACCATATATGGTCATATGGACACACTTTCAGTTTATGCTAGGTTCCCACTGTCGTGCGATCCGTTACCAACGCCATGATTGGCCATTCTTGCTTATCGTGGAATTTTTCTGAAATTTCAGGTTTGGAAACGAGGTGATGCGAGTCGATACGTTCTGATACTTTTTGTCACGCTCGGATGCAATCTGGTCATTATTTGTCATTTTCAGGTGTCACGATCTGTCACGGTCTGATCTCCCGTTCCAATAAGATCACATACGTACCGATATTATTGTTTCGATCGAGTCCACGATTGGGTCTCGATCTGACACGATCATCAGGATCGGGTTCCCCGAATAGGGACGATCCGGTACATGCAGATACGTTTCGATACGTTCATCACGAAAAGATGCGCCCTGTTACGATAGGATACGTTTCATTTTATTTTTTATTTTTTAATCATGATATATTGTTTTATTGAGAGGAAGTGACTGGCCTTAAAGATGGCCAATAAGGAGTGTCTATTTCTTGGGGGGATTCTACCACAAGGAGTCTCTACTGGTCAAGAGTAGTTCGCTGAATGAGACGCATTAAATCGTTTCCGGTATATATATGGGCACGAGAACTCGTAACAGATCGTGATCATCCGTGTAAAAACGTAAGTACCCGTATCTACTCGCATTTACTCGCATCTTTTCGTATCAACTCCTATCTCATACTCCTAAATGAGTTATTCATTTCAGGTCTTGAGCAATTGGTACCGACAGAGCGTAACAGATCGTGACAGATCGTGGGAGATCGCAACACTTCTCAACAGAGCGTGGTGTCTGTCTTGTCTAAGATCGATCCCGATCACCACGATTTGGAAGCACGATTAGATGAGATTTGTCCCGCTTTGTTACGATGCAGTACGATCTGATACGATGATCCCGATTGAAAATCGATCGTGCTGATCGTAGAAAATGTTTGAACAGTTAAAAATGTTTCTACAATTAACACGATTGCCACGACTGACCTCAAGATCTGATAAGAACTGATAGGATCACCACGATTAGTCCACGATTAAGACCACGATTTCAATCGTGCCGCGAATTTTGATAGTGGGAGCCTAGCATTACATACGACACCTACGTTCTAGTGTGTATACTGTATATAAATACACACATAGTTATAGATATTTACACATGTGTACGCTTATTAACACAGACTTTCTGTTTCCAGGAAAAAAAATCCACCACACAGAATGCTGTCCTAAGGGTCATCTTAATGATACATCTGACACACATTCATACATACGT